GCAGGAAATTGGGTATATAGATGATAGAGAGCTGAAAAACTATATAGGGGACTCTGAGGCAACTAAGTGGTAGCATTTGCAGGAAGCACGTGTGTAACTCCTGAGACTGGAAGAGCAATAGGAAGAGAATCTAGAAGCTCCTAAGAGAGAGCCACTGAGCTGGGACCTAGACCTCTGAAGATACTGCCTGGCTGCTGCAGCTTTCTCTGAGAGGGTCTAAAGCTGTTCTGGAAGTTCAGGAGAGAAAAAAAAAATGAGACTGGAACCAACTTCCAAAGCTATGGTGAAGAACCATTGCTGAGCTGCAGCTGACAAGAACAGCAGCAAAGCAGGGAAGAGCAAGGCCTTTTCTCCCCTCTTGCATCCCAGCTTCCTTCTGGGGCTCCATACTGGCAGAGCACAACAGCCTCTGGCAAAGATGTGGTCTGCAGAGTCCCAGACCCAGGATCACAGAGCAAACCCAAGAGGGGGGTTTGGAGCTGAGACACTATAGTTTGCTGCTTGGCCCAAAGAATACCTGAGAATCTGTAAGACCGTTGTCTAGGGCTCCAAATAACATTGGTGCAACTCATACTAGCAGGCATAGGTATGTAAAAATATGACAACTAAAATGCACTTTTGTAAGGTAGAAAACTGTTAACCTTGAATCTGTTTAGATAGCAGAGAATTTGACAGACAATAGATGTATTTGGACAAGCCATTTTCAAAATATGTTTGTCTCGTAAAAGACATACTAATTATTTTAATTTGTTTGAGATAATTAATTACCAAAGTATAGAATTATGATTATGTTAGCATTAAGGGTCAGATCAACTTAGTTGTTTTATTTTAACTACAACATCAGGCCTCTGGGCATATAGGCACACTCTTCATTGTTGCTTTTGTGTCATATCCATATAGAACTTTAAAAATATTAACAGAAAACTGTCTGTTGGTGTTCTAATGGAGGCAAGAAAATGAAAATTAATGGAGCTACCAAAGAAAATATTCTCAAACAAGATACCCAGCCAACTCAGATATGTTATCTTCATCTTTAAATCTCTATTTCCCTGGGACATCAGAAATAATATTTTTAGATGGCTTAAGATTACCTTAACACATTCACAGATGGTCTAATATAGTCAGAAAAGCATGGGGAATTTGTAAAATTTGAATCTTAGCTCTGCCACTTTCAAGGTGACCTTGAGTAAATTACTTTAGTTTTTACTCGTTACATGTAAATAGAAATATTCGTTTATTTATTCAACAAATACTTGCTGAGTACCTACCATGTGCCAGACATTGCTCTAAGGTTTAGGGACCAGTGAATTCCTCTGCACCCAATGAACTTTCCATTGTAGCACAGGAAGGCAGAAAATAATCACATAAATATATAAAAAGTTAGGTGTCAACACAGACTAAAAGGAATGGGTTGAAAAAAGATACTGCCTTGATGAACCTAGAAAGTATTGTGCTGAATGAACTGGGTCGGAAATAGAAAGATAAATATCACATGATTTCACATACATGTGGTATCTAAAGAATAAAATCATCAACAACAACAACAAAAGTGGAAATAACTCATATAGATACAGAGAATATTTAGAGGGTTACTAAATAAGAAAGGGGTTGGGGGAACAAAAAAAAGGCAAAAGGATTAAGAAGTACAAATGTATCCTTATAGAATAGACATGGACATGTAGCATGTAGCATGGGGAAGACGGTTAATAATGTAATAAATATGTAAGGGGGAAGAGGTGTACTAGATTTAGTAGGGTGATCACTTTGCAAGTTATGTGGATCTCTGATCACTAGGCTATACAACTGAAACTGGTATATTATTGTATGCTAACTATAATTGAAAAAAAACTCATTGAATTGTACAATGTAAATACAAGCAACTAATTGTCTATTATATTTCAATAAAGATGGGGAAAAAAAGAAACAAAAAGAACAAACTAATCAAAAACAGAATCACAAATATAGAGGACATTCTGGGGATGGCCAAAGGGGAGGGGGGTTGGGAGCTGGGAGAATGGAGTGAAGGGTTATTAGTTGATAGATGGTCACAAAGATAGGGAGCATGGCATAGGGGATGCAGTTAGCATTAATGTAATGGCTACGTGGAGAGCTAGAGGAGGAAAAGAGTAATTAGGGGGATCATTTTATAAACTATATAAGTGTCTAATCAATGTATTGTATACTTGAAATAATAATAATAATAAAATTAAAAAATAAAATAAAATAAAATATTAGGTGTCAGTAAATAATATGAAAAAAATAAAGTGAGATAGGCAAGTAGAAATGATGAGAGGTATCACTTTTATAGAATGAATAGGAAAAGCCTGTCTGATAATGTAACATCTTAAGGAAAGGAGGAAGCCATGTGGATATCTAGAGAAGTGCTTTCCGAACACTGGGAACCAGAAGTTCCCAAATAAAGGAGAGTATAATAGGAGATGAGGTCAGACACCTGTAGGAAGGGGAGAAAAGGGCAGGACCAGATCCTACAGGGCCTTTCAATTATAGGATTTCATTACAAAATTTGGAGCATACCATCAGCTAAATCATCTGAATTTTCTTAAAATAACTACTATTGCTGGGTGGAAGATATAGACCATGGGGGGGGGGCAAAAAGGGAAACGGTTGGGGGGGAGGCAAATTATGAATCTATAGCTGTAATTTAGACAAAAAAATTATGGTGGCTTGGAAAGGGGTGTTAGAGTAGGAGGTGTTGAGAAGTTGTTGGTTTCAGGGTAAGTTTTGAAGCACAAGCCAACAAAATTGCTGATGTACAGAGAGAGGAGAAGTAAAGGGTGATCTCAAAGTTTTGGCCTTGAGCAGCAGGAGAAATGGAAATGCTATTACTGAGAAAGGGAAGACAATGGGAAGATCTGGTTAATCTAATCGTGCTAAGCCTATTGTGAGATAATAGATCAATGCAATAAATAAAATGATGTAAACAAAACTAGTGCAATCTTGACCCACAGTAGTTCAGCCAATCTTAGTCCCTCCCTCTCTTATGGAACACATTTGGCTCTTCTTCTTGTCCTCAGAATGCATTTATGCACTACGCACACATGCTCTCACCTTTTTTATTTGCTACTTTTCCCCAGATCAATATACGGTCAAAACATTTCCACTACAGGCGAGGGTCACCTAAACCTCACTCAGAAAAATCTCCAACAAACTACAGAATCAGCAGAGATGACAACTTACACTTTTAAATAAAGGAAGAAAAATATTTGATACCGAAAAAACATGAATGGCAATCCTTCTAATACCTCAAAGTACTTAGAAAGCCTCAGGACCCTAAAAGTTTTCCCTAGTATTGTTTTTTTTTTAATAAAAATTCTGCAATGAGTAATATATATTTTATAAGTATTTTTTTCTTAGAATTTCTGAGAAGAACCTAAGAAACTGAAATGTTACTCAAAAATCTATAGAAAGGCTTATTGAATATATATTTCTTGGCAAAATTTTCTGGTTGTTTTTATTCTTTTCCTTAAATTTTTGAAGCACAATATTTAAAGAAAATAAGTAATGTAAATGACGAGGCACTTCTATTAGGTAAATATGTCTTAGCAATATTTTATCCAAAGTCAACCCCCAATTATATACCAAATATATATATATATATATATGGAGAGAGAGAGAGAGAGAGAGAGAGAGAGAGAGAGAGAGAGAGAGAGAGAGAGAGAGAGAGAAGGCGAGAAAGAGAGGTTTTCATGGTCAGCTCACACAATTATGATGGTGTGATAACTACTTATAATATTCTGTAATTGATGTTTTGATATTTTGGGATCATGGGGCCATGCTAATGCCTCAAGGTTGTTTGCACCTCTGCCCCTC